ACCTTGAACAACAATCGAAATATAGTCGGATCCCTATATTCCTTAATTAACGGATATTGGAAGGATGTGATCTTTCTATGTGTCGTGTAGCCTAAAGGATATAGTCGTCCAGGAGTGTGTGCTGGCCCCTGTGCCAGGGTTGAGCACTTTACAGTAGGGTGCAAAGAACTCCTTTAACAGGATCACGAATTCAACGTGACTAGGGGCTACAATTAGGGGTAGTTGAGGTGTCAAACCCTCAACCCAAAACCCTGAACCCTAAACCCACCCTAAACCCTAAACCCTAAACCCTGAACTCTAAACCCAAACCCTCAAACCCAAAACCCTAAACCGTAAACCCAAAACCCTAAACCCTAAACCCGTGGGTCAGGGGTCGCAGGCTCGGGATCTTGGGCTGGGCTGGGTCACAAGGAAGATGGGGCCTCAATGTTTGAACTAGGGTGTAGGGTTTAGGGTTTAGAGTTTTAGGGTTTTGGGTTTGGAGTTTTAGCTGCTTAGGGTTTAGAGTGTAGAGTTTTAGGATTTAGGGTTTAGAGGGAACTAAGTCTTGACTTCTCAGGCCCTTTATCGTACCTACCCGAACAGCAAGACCTATGACCTCCAAAAGTCGTCAACAGCAACCTGGCAGTTGGTGCAGCTATCTCGGGGTTAGGGTTTAGGGTTTAGGGTCTAGCTCTTGGCGAGCTTCGAAGAGCTGGAAAATAGCAAATTTTTATTTAGGGTTTGGGGTTTAAGGGTTTAGAACCTAGAAGAACCAAGATCTGAAGGATCCTCTAAGCGTGCCGATGCAGGCCTTTCGGGTTTCGGGCTTGGGCCCTTGTGCAAATGTGCACACTGGCCAGAGAGGATGGCTGAGGCAGCAACGCAAAGCCCTCCTAATGCTACAGTGCTACAGCTGCTTCTCACACAGAACCAGTTGCCTTATGATTCCGTGGCTTCAAATGTTGGAACAGCTTGGGGAAACCTGCCAGCACGAGGGTTAAGGCTAAGGCATCTCTATACTACGAACTCTGCGTTTTGAAATCCGAAGGGACTGGGAACCCTCGTGCGAGGTATCCCAACAACACACCCTCAATCTCAGACGACGAAAACCTGTCCACGTGGCAAAGCTGCGCGGACATGGTGACCCGTAAACCTCGAAATCTGCGGTCCGGATCCCCAAACCCTAAACCCAAACCCCTGAACGGTTTAGGGTTTACTTCAAAAGGGCCCGAAAGCCTTCGGAAATATACGGGGCAGTAGGGGCTCTCGGGTTTTCCAAGTCCAACGGGCGACCACGCAGATCAAGACAAACCCCACCCCCCGTTGCAGAAAAGTGTAGTCTAGTTTTAACACAACAACCTCACTTCCGAAATCCCCGCATGCTGCCGTTCAATCCCAAAGCCTCGTGTTGTCGGAAGACAGCACCCTGGACGCCAAGCCCCGTAAAGCGAACCGTCAAAGGAGCCCTTTTAAGGAACCCTTAAAGGAACCCTGTCAAGGGAAGCTTAAAGGGCACAGACGCTCACAAAACCTAATCAAAACCTGGCTTCCCTGCATCTCAACTTTCTTCAACTTTCAAGCCCAACCCTCGTGGAATCCAAGACAGGAAGGGGAGCCTCGAACAACATCGCCGCAGAATCATGGCAAGGTGCACGTACCTGCTTGGGACGACTTGTGAAGTTTAGGGCTTGGGGTTTAGGGTTTAGGGTGTAGGGTTTGGGGTGCTTTGTCATCATACGGATAGGTCCTTGCATAGGAGGTCGTGAGAATTGTCTGCAAAATGCAGCTCACCAAAACTTCACATAATCATGTAATCAGCTTGCCCTCCGGAGATGGCATCACTTTTCGCGCTGCCCGCAACAACAGGTTGTGTCGGAAGCAAAAGATGCCGCCCGCCGTCGTAGACCCTTAAAGAGCAGACGAGGCAGCTGAAAA